CATTGTGAAAATCAGACTAGATAACAATTTGGTCAAGTAAGATAAACTAAGAGTTAACTAATACAAACGTTTTCAAATAAATAATATCCAATCCTCCTTCCCTGGATGCTCTTAAAAAATTTAGCAAATTCAAGTAGAAATTAAAAGGAGTAAACAGCCTATACCATAAACTATTTCTTAACCTCCTAAATTCTCTATGTCCCAGCTAATGGAAAAATTAGCTTCTTATGCATGAGAGCTGGTGTTGGTTTGTTCTTATTATTAGTGAGGTAATTATTCGCTCAGCACAAAAAGAAAAGGGCAATATATTCTATCAGGGAAGAGCTAGTTTTTCAGGCAGACGACAATGCTCTGAACATTGGGATAGAATTTAAATCAGCCACCAAATGAGCTAGGCTTACACAAAGATTAGATTGAAAATGTTGCCACTGGGAAAGAATACCAAAATGGTTGTTAACCATAAACACCAAGCAGAGAGGAAACTCCTGAACAAGTTGGCCATGTGCCTTGTTCACTGCACTCCAGAGAATTTGGAAAGGGAGAGCAGAGATGGAGTTTCTCAGGAACACTCCAGAATGACTGCACAAAGACAAATGGGCATGAGAGGAAGAATAAGAAGACCAGTGCTTACACTATCCTGCATTGTCCTCCACACCGTCCTCTGGGAAGCAAGAGGAAACACATTTAAAGGAAAAAGAAAAAGAGATTATTCTATACACAATAGCACAGCACAGGTATAAAGGTCAGCTTTGTAGGTTGGCATCCCACCCATCCCCGCCCTGAATTCCCCTGGAACCACCAGTCAAATATTCAAGAAAACTGCACACACAGTAGGAGTGGAATACCCACAGGGATTTTCTGGGTTGTAAATTATTGCTGATGTGATAAGTTAGTTAACTTCCAAGTCTGGCTTTTTTTTTTTTTAATTTACTTTTATAACATATATGCCTCTAAGGGATACCATTTAAAGTACATTTTTTGCTTTAACATAGGAGCCAAAGTGAAGTCACGGAGAGTCTCTGCCCAAGTGTGTTCGGGAGCTTTCCAATCCATTGTGCTCTAATTTTCTGAGCTGTACAAATAATTGCCTTTTGGAGAGGAAAATTCAAAACTCCTCGGTGTGCTTTATTTTTGCACTCAATATGTCCAGTGAATTGAAACTTCGTAAAATATCATAGTTTTCCATTAAATTATTTAAGAGACATCAGAGTATAAAATTAAGGAAAAGGGAAGAGAGCCAATCTGTTTCTGAGTGCAAATAATCACCTCTGACCTATTTAATTGAAAAATTTTAACCTCTGGCTGGGGCAGAAGAGGGTTAAGGTGAGTGTCTGCAGCAGGGAAGGGACACATGATGCTACGACCAGTGTGTTAACAGGATCTGTTAACATTGTAACAAATCATAGCTGTTGGCAGTGAGATTATGATATTTTCCACCATTGTAAACAATTATACTGCACTAATAAAAATGTTTTAAAATTTTTTTTATTTGATTTTATTGTGATAAGAACACTTAACCTAAGATCTACCCTCTTAACAGAAAATAAAAGTGTGACATTTTCAGATGTGCTGACTTTCTATCAGTAGCTGAATTTATAAACATGTTCATTCATTCTCAGATAACAAAGATCACTTTAGGGGAGTTTGAAAGGTATGGGTGACCTTGACAGTGTTTAAGGGCCATGTAACAAATGGAAATGTTTCTAGTGATATAAAAGAATTTCCAAGTTCCTTATACATATGAGACAAGGCTAAATGTGGAATTGATGCATTTTTAAGAGAGAGTTTTCTTTTCAATTATTTTATATAAGTTTTTAACAGCAGCTTAGGGTTGGGAGCTTCATTTCTAAAACAGTCCTGAAAATTACAATTCACATAAAAAGTAGCTAGACAATAGATATAAGAAGAGTCACCAAGAGATCCCAGCCAATACCACAGGTACTCATTTAAATGGTATTAGGAAGTGACATTCCAAAGCCTTAGTTATGCTATTTTCATTTTGGCCCAAGAGTGAGGTGATCCTAGAATTCTTTTGACGCTGGCCTCTGAAGCATTTTATCTGCTGAAACAGAGATAGTAAGAGAAATCTTTCCCAATTATCCTCCTTTTCTGGAACACATGCTTCTTATAAATATTCAGGAAACATCTTTTCAGGGGAAAAATTAAAACAGCAGTAGGTAACCTGAGCCTTGTTTATAAACAGTTGAGATGGGCTGTAATGGAGAGCAGACCCATCCGGCCCCTTCCCCATGGCTTGCTCCTCGAAGATGATCATATCTGACTGTTGGATCACTCTACTTTCCTACTCTACAGAACTGTACCTACCGAACCCTTAAAGGGAGGAAGGCCTTGGGGGAGCCAGGGGCTACAAATGGAGACTCTGATATTAGCTTCAGGCCCAGCTCCTGTTTCTCAAGAATAACCTTGGTGTAGCTTCTATTGATGTAGAAACAGCTTCTGACTCTTAAGAGCTGAGGAAAGCTGAGCTCCAGGAAGGCTTATAGCTGGCTGTTGCTGATTCTTACAAATTAGGAAGGGATTAGAATTTAATTCAATAATTAAAAAAAAAAAGAATAAAAGTGCCAATTTCACTTACATAGCCTGAACTCACACCTATGAGGAAATAGTTGGGAAAATATGTTTGGGAATAAAATTGGCTTATTAATTGGATACCTACGTACTGAGTCTAGTCCTTGGCTTTTCATTATGGTTGGATAATCAACCATTATCAACTATTTTAAGAAAAAAAATTGATTAGAATATATTTTAGAGCTGGGTGTGGTGGTACATGCCTGTAATCCCAGTAGCTCAGGAGGCTGAGACAGGAGGATCACGAGTTCAAAGCCAGCCTCAGCTAAGGTGAGGCACTAAGCAACTCAGTGAGACCTTGTCTCGAAATAAAATACAAAAAAAAAGTTGGGTATGTGGCTCAGTGGTCAAGTGCTCTTGGGTTAAATCCCTGGTACCCTGCCCCGACCACCAAAAATAAGAACATATTTTGGAGGGTGAATAAAATAGAAGATCAGTTTGCTATTTGTCAGTGCTCTTAAAGAACCCTTCATTTGGGAGTTTTTTGAAGATTACCAATAAAGTTCCTCTATAAAAGGTTGAAATTCCAATTTTCATATCTATTAGATTTTTAAACATCATGTGAAACTCCCAAAGCATTGATGCTTTCCTTCGATGGTGCTTAATATTGTTGTTCTGAGAAATATATTTTTCTTGATCAACTTCCCTAAGAGTTTAAGGGTGGGTGTTAATTTCTCTTGGGGATAAGAGTGAACTATGCTGTTTCAAAGTGAAAAGAATTCATTAGTTAATATAGATATCTTTATCTTGTTCAAATTAAATGCAATTTCAACCAAGTACATAATGGACCCTAGTTTTTTTTTTTATTTGATTTTATTGTGATAAGAACACTTAACATAAGATCTTAACAGATTTTAAAGTGAATAATACAGTATTGTTTTCTGTGGGCACAATGCTGTAAATCAGAACTATAAAATTTATTCATCTTGTACCCCACCAGTTCTTAAATTGGGTTTTTTAAAAATGCTGAAAGGCCTTAACTCTTAATGACTAAATCCAGAGTCAACTAAAATGGGGGGAAGAAAGAAAAAGAACCAAACCTATACTCACCATTTGTGCTTCTGGTTAGAGAAATACACAAAGCAATTTAAAGCACATCCCAAACAGTAGAATCTAAGGAAAAGCACCATTCTTTAAAACAATAAGCTAATTGTTGGGCAGAATCTAATCGATTATTTAAAAGAAAAATGGTGACTAATTTTAAACTTTTCCTGAAATTGTAAGCAAGGTACTATAGAAGGCCAAAGTGATTATAGATATGGTACCTTTTCCAGAACCTACACTGAAGAAGATTTTATTTGCCAATAACTGGTAATAAATTAATAACAGTGAATGACTATACCTACCCCTTCATTTTGAAACTTCATGCATAGTCCTTTATATTGTAGGCACATTTGATTTTTTTATAGAGGGAAATGCTCAGCTGTACTTACATCAAGGCCAAACGCAACCAATTTAATCTTACGAGTTCTACATTGTAGAAGGATATTAACTCAAATCATAAAGTAATTTATAACAGCAACTAATAAAAGAATTTTCATAATCTGCAACCCTCGAGATCTGTGTTTATATGGCACAATCAGATTCGGTTCAAATGCTTTATGACCTTAAGGTTTTTATCTGTTAATTTTACATCAAGATAATTGGCAAAGAAACATTAGCAGCACTAACAATTGCAGGTATATAAACTGTTTATAGTACTATAAATTGAAGAAATTGAATTAAAAATAATCAGGCAGTATTTCTTTGAAATTATGAGCTTTGAATTTTTTATGTCAAATTTGGTTTTTAAAACACATTCAGAAAATTGTGTTTACTATGTTTATGGTTGTATTCTACAAGTAAATTGCTCTTAACGATAGATACCATTCAGTCACTGAAACATACTTAAATGGCTCAAAAAGTGATTATTTCTAAGGATTCCACCTTTTTAAAGACATAAGAAAGAAAAAAAACGGTATAACCTTAATTTAGGATTTCTTGGCAGGAACTTTCTAACAGGCAACTTTGCATACAGGAAGTCTTATAAAGTAACATTGTATCAGTTGAATAATCATTTTTAAGAAATGAAGCGAAGCAGATGAATAAGACATATGCTATTGTAATTATATCTCTGGAAGAATTGGTAATTCAGTTTTTAAATTAATATTTCAGAAGAAATATGAAGTTGAACATTCGGTCACTGCTCCGTTGGATTTAATCGTTATTAAGATTTCTTAATCTAATTAGTTACCTAAAAGAGAGGTCCTATTACTTTTCAATATTAAAATTAAGAACAGGAGCAGAAAAAAAGAATGAGATGACTTTCACAACCAAACTGTTTTAGAATCCCAGAATCTATTTAGAAGAATGAACAAATGACCTTGGTGACAGAAAGTGCCCACAAGGGTCATCTATCCCACAGGACTCACCAGCCGGTCCAAACTTGTGCCTGCAGCAGTAGTGGGTCTTTCCTCGGGATTGTAGGGCCTAAAACGTGTATTAAAGTTTTCAGGAGCCGATCGGGCAGATCTGAGAGCCGGAGCAGGTTTGGGTTGGCCACATCCCTGAAAGACCTGGAGAGAACCATAGAAAGGTAAAGAAATCTACCTAAAGAAAGTTTCCTCTATTTTATTTTCACTTTTTAAAATTTTCCCTTTTTAGATATACATGATAGTAGAGTGTATTTTGACATATAATACATACATGGAGTATAAGTTATTCTATTTAGGATCTCATTCTTATGGTTGTACATGATGTGAATTTTCACTGGTCGTATACTTGTGTATGAACTTAGGAAAGTGATGTCCGATTCATTCTACTGTCAAGAAAGTCTCCTCTTTAAAAAAAGTCATTTTCATGGAATTCTTACCTCCAATACACTCTTAGTTAAAATTTAAACACATACAACCACCTACATGACAGAAAGAATTACCCAGACAGCTAGACTGGTCCACTATGACTCTTAATTTTACCATATATACTTATTCCTCATTATTTTTCAGATTCTTGATTTGCAAATTTGCCTAGCCCTAAAATTCATATGTAAGCCCAAAATCGGTACTCACAATACTTTCATAGAATAGCAGCGGTAAGAAATCTGAGCAGCCCCAATTGCATGTTTGTGGCAGATGTTGAACAAAGCAATGCTTTCTGCTGTCAGTGTCAGTATCCTTTCTGTAGTCTATCTTATACCCTTTTTCACATATTTGTGCTTTTTTTTGTTTGTTTTGATGATTTCACTGTTTAAATGACTCCCCAGCATAGGGCTGAGTATAATGTAGTGCTCCTGAGTACAAAGAATGTGATGTGTCTTGTGGAGAAAATATTTTCCATAAACTTCATGCAAACCTATGTTCAATGTCATGAATGCCATATTAATCAAGCAAATATATATTAAATAAGGCATCTTTAAACAAAGACACAAAGAATAAGAATGCATTGATGGGCTGACGATAATATTGTGACCAGTGGCTCCTAGGAGCCTAACCTTATGTTTCCCATAGGAACAACAATTCAGTGTTTGCTAATTCAGTGTTTGTATTGACTTTCTACAACAAATAATGAGAATCGACTGTGTTGAAAATGAGGATTATAATAGTTACTTCACAGGATCATTTCAGGATTAAACAAATTGTGCCCCAGACACTTTCATGCACATGAATTGGCATTCAATAAACATCCCTTTGGGATCTGCCTTATCAAGACAAATGTATTTCATGTCTAGACTATGAGGCCAAATATTGTGAGGGACTCCCTTCTGAATAACAAAAACCTCTACTGGAAGAATGCTTTGAAAACTCTCTCCTGGGCCAACCGTGTAAAAATAGGACAAGCGCATGTGGATGATATCCACAAAATGACAGTTTCTTCTAATTTTGTTGACAGCTGTTCATGTCACAATTGGGGTTGCTGTGGGAAATCAAGCATCTTATTGTAATGAACTTAGGGACCTAGCTGCAGGTTCTTTTCCACCATGACTTCACTCCAGCAACTATGCAAGAACCTCTTTTATTACTTTAGAAGCTTTTCACTCTGTGCCTGATATCCTGAGATTATACCTTGCCTGGATTTACAAGAAAGAGAGTCACATCTTGATGAAGTTTAACTTTAGTTTGTTCCATTTGTACATAGGGAATGATTTTTCTCCTAGCTATATATTTTTTTTCTTTTTGAGTAAACTTTACTGGACTATTTATGTGAGAGAATTCTTAACTCGCATGTGTATATTTACAATGCATTCGTTCCAGTTTTGTCATTTAATTCTTTGTTGTTTAACTTTAAAGCAAGCATTTTTCACCATGCATAGTATGTGATTCCACCGAAGTATGCAGAGAGCCCTTAAGTGCCATTCCCAATGACAAATTTTATCTGGAGACACAATTCATTTTGCTTTGCCGCTACAGCTAATTTCTCTTTCGTCGTATTCAGAAGTTCTCCTTTAGCTCAGCATTTCGAAGAGCCAGCGGTACTTTGTCTTGGCATTCCTCAAGATTGGCCTTAACACACTATTGATTATTCTCTCGCACAATTTCTGAAGTTGATGGTGTAAACCCGTGTGATAAAGATAGTGGGCTCTTTTCTCCCTAGTGCCTAAATCACCTCCCTGTGGCAAGGTCGTTGTTGATGGAGGGCATTAACATTTCCAGAGCTCCAGGGATCTGTTGAGAGTGCTATTTTGAATTGCTTGGAAAATGACAGCTGACTTTTAAAAAATATAAAGCCCAAGGCGAAACAATAGGAATGGCCTTGCTGAGACTTCATGAATCCAGGCACTTAAATAGTTAACAGACCCTCTTAATTTGCTCTTCTGGAAGAATCTGGCTGCGTGGGTTAAAGTGAAATCAAATGAAAATGGAATGATCTGGAAGGACATTAGTGTTCTGGGGAAATATTTCATCATAACAGAAAAACCTTCTTCATTTTTGTTGTTTGTTTTGGAGCGTGCTAATTATAAAAGAACATGTTGGTGAATGTAGCCCAGTAGCTTTCCATTATTTATGTTGGCTTTGGATTTTGAGGATCACCTCACTGCAGAGCTTGCTGGGTCTAGGATCCAAATCGAAGAAATCACTGACTTCTAATTATTTTGGAAACAACACTTAACCTACAATCTGGTGGAAACCTACATAAAAATCTGTCACAATAACTTCTTATCTTGAAGGTCCCCTAACAGAGATTCTATCATACCCTTAGCAAAACAAAACTGCCAGAAGAAAAAATCCGTTAGTGTGGAAGTTCCAAGCCCAGGGATCAGGAGCTATTTTTTTAGAATTCTGCAAAACCTAATGAGATCAGTTGCAAGATACACCTGAGCATCAACTTGCCCTGCTTTTGCTTGGCGATGATTAAAGACCCCTGTATTTGTCTCATATGGAGAATACATTTTAAACAACAGATGTCCGTCATATAACTTATTAGATAACCTACAAAGGGGAAGTTAACAATTTCATGTTTATTACATATTTCAGTCAGTTTTTTTTTTCTGCTGTGACCAAAAGATCTGACAAGAGCCATTAGAGGAAGAATGTTTATTCGGGGGCTTATGGTTTAAGATGTCTCAGTCCATATAAGGTTGGCTCCATTACTTGGGGCTTGAGATGAATCAGGACATCATGCGGAAGAGTCTGGCAGAGGGGAGAAGCTTGGGGACATGGCACCAGGAAGGAGAGAGAGCGAGCTCTCCTCACCATGACAAAATATAAACCCCAAAGGCATGTTCCCAATGACCCACCTCCTCTAGTCACAAGCTACTTGCTTTCAGTTGTAACTCAGTTCATCTCCATCAGGGAATTAATTCACTGGTTAAGTTAGGGCTCCAATAACCCAACCAGTTCACCTCTAAACATCCTTGCATTTCACACATGAGCTTCTGGAGGACACCTCCCATCTGAACCCTAACCCTACATGTGCTATGGTCCATCAAAACCTCATCTCCAGTGTGATGGGATTAGGAGGTGGGCCTTTGGGAGATATAGGACCTGTCCTCACAGATGGCATTATAAGAGAGGAACTGCTGTGTATGATTACTGTTTATGGTATTTTGTTATATCAGCTCGAACAAACTAAGATAGCACGCAAACTGTTAGCTAGAAAAAAATATTTTTTAAAAATGGGGTTCACGGGGTGTGTGACAAAAGGGATTTTATGCAGGAAATCTGAGACTATCTCACTTTTCTGAGTTTGTTATGACAGTGGTAGAGACAATGTGTTTTGTGGTTCAGGTGGTCCAGGGATTTAAGTGTGGCAATATTTAGATAAGAGAAGAGACAGAAGGAAAATAATGTGAAGGCCAGGGCCTTAGATTAAACGAGAGACGGTAAAGAGGTCAGTGCTGGAGATACAGATTTTGATTATTAACCCAAGGATGGAATTTTAAGTTCTGAAACTGGTTGCAGTTAGAAAAGGAAAGTATATAGATAGCTGGCAGATGGAAGGAGCTGGGATGACTCAGTGCTGTGCTAACATTTAGAGGGCCCTCTTGGAACCTCAGTTTCCTCCTCTGTCAAATGGGAGTGTTATGTTTAGATCTGGAAGGTGCCTCAAAGAATTATGGGTTGAAGGCTTGGTTCCCCAACTGGTGGTACTAATGAGAGGTGGTGGAAATTTTAGAAGGTGGGGCCTCGTTGGTGGAAGGAGGTCAATTGGGGGAATGTCCTTGAAAGTTATACCTTGTCCCCAGTCCCTTGCAATCTCTCTCCATTTTTGCTTCCAGACTCCATGAGGTGAGCTGCTCTGCTCTGGCACATGCTCCCTGCCATGATGTTCTGCCTCACCACTGGCCCATAGTGATGGGGTCATGAGACCTTTGACTGAGACCTTTGAAAATGTCAGACACAACAGCCCTTTTCTCCTTTAAGTTGTTTTACTCAGGTTTTTTGTCATAGCAACAGAAAGCTGACTAACTCAGGGAATAATAATAGTATTTACCACACAGATAGTCTGTGATGAGAAAATGTAGTGGATAAGGCAGGAAAACAGAACCAAATGTTTAGATAAGTGAGTGCTTAATGATAATTAGTTAATTGTAGCATTCTCTAACCTATTCTTTCTAGAAGTCTTTGCTTTCTGAATTAGGAAATGTGAAGGAAAACATGCTGGGATGATGCTTCTTAAATGTTTTCCACAGAACATCATTTTCAGGGTCTCATAGCTGTTACCTAAGCAATCGATTTCATGTGCCAAATTCTAATTAGGTACTTTTGCAAGGGCTTCATCATGCTAAGGTGTGTAGACTCTTCAAAGGGAAAGATGCTAAGTGCTAAAATTATTTGGCCCCAGTTTCCCCAGAAGTTTCTCACAAGACTGGTGACCCAGAGGACAACCCCTAAGACATATCACTAAGGTGGCTGCCAACTTCTCCAAGAGGCAGAAATGATTCAGATAGAACTGCATTCATTCAGAGGCATTTGGGAAGTCACCCTGCCCTCTCCCACCTTTAATTTGAGGAAAGAATACCATTTTAGACACTGAAGATCTTTTCTTTACAACAGAAGTTTCTAAAACAGGGAGCTGCAGGCTAAGCCACCAGATTGTGGAACAAATCATTAGCTGTATCCCTTTAAAAAACAGAATC